TATTTAGTCTTCCACTGTTGGGCTATTATGGACAATGTTGCCATGAATCATTTGTATATGTGTCCTGGTGCACATATGTAGACATTTCCTTGAGTATTTATCTAGGAATGGAATTGCTGGATTGGAGGGTATGCATATCAACAAATTTATTACAAGGTGCCAAAGTGTTTCCCAAAAGGATTATAATAATTTACACTCTTGCTAGCTATGTGTAAGGGTTCTCATTGCTCCACATCGTTACCTACAGTTCAGGCTACGGTTTTTGTCAGTCTCATGGGTGTGTAATGATATTGATTGTGTTTTATTTGTGTTTCCCTGATTACCAAGGAGGTTAAACACCTTTTCATATGTTTCCTAGCAATTTGGATTAACCTCTTTTGTGAACTATCCAAGTCTTTTGTCCTTTTTTCTGTTGATTTGTAGGATTCTTTATATATTCTAGATGGTAGTCCTCTCTGTTACAAAGGTCTTCTTCCACTCTGTGGCTTGTCTTTTCACCTTCTCAACAGTGTATGTTGATGAACAGAAGTTTTTAATTGTACTTTAGTCAAACTTATCAACGTTTTCCTTTATGGTTTGCAGTTTTTCTATTACATTTTTTAAAAGTCCTTCTCATCCATTCTATATTATCTTCTAAAGCTTAATAATTTTGCCTTTCACATCATGTCTTTAATCCACCTGGAATTGAGTTTTGTGTATAGTATGAGAGTAGGGGTCCATTTTCATGGGTTTTTTTGAATATTAATAACCAATTATCTTGGCACTATTTATTGAAAAGTCTATTGTACTCTTTACTGATCTGCAGTACCTCCTTTGTCATATATCAGTTTTTGTGTGTGTGTGTGTGGCTATCTGGTTAAAGAAATCTCCCTCAATTCCTGGTTTGCCAAGAGTTTTCAGTCATAAATGATAAAATGTTGAATTTTATCAATTTTTCTGCATTTATTCATATAATCATATTTTTCCACCATTTGTTAATGTATTGAACTGCATTAATTTATTTTCAAATATTAAATCAGCCTTGCATTTCTAGGATAAATCTAGTTTGTAATGTATTATACATTTAATATTTTGCTGGATTTAGTTTGCTAATAGTTTTAGTTTTTTTTCCTTACATTTATTTTTATTCATAAGATTGGCCTATAATTTTCCATTTTTATATTGTCATTGTTGTATTTTGAACCCAGAGTTATGCTAGCCTCGTTATATGAGCTAGATATACCTACTCTTATTTTATACTATAAAGTAGTATGTGTAAGATTGTAATTATTTTTACTTAAGTATTTGGTAGAACTCACTTGAAAAAAAAACAACAAAGCAAACAACTTTTGTAGGCCTGGTCATTTTGGAGGGAGGATTTTAAATTTTGGATTCAATTTCTTTAATCATTTTGGAATGATTTAAATTTTCTATTTCTTCTTGAGTTAATTTTGTTAAGTTATATATTTTTAGGATATTTTCCCATTTATGTAAATTTTCAAGTTTATTGGCATGAAGTTGTTCATAATATTCTTATTTTTTTAATGTTGGCAATAATTGGAATTATGACTCCCTTTTTTTATTCCTAATGTTTCTGCCTACTCTTTTTTCTTTTCAAATAGTTAGTATTTAGCTTTATGATACTCTTAATTTCTTCTCTTTTCATTGTTTTCTTTCTACTTTGTGTTTATTTTTCTGTCTTTTCCACCTTCTTGAGATGGATGCTTAGCTCAATAAGCCTTCCTTCTTTTCTAATATATGCATTTAAGACTATAAGTATGTCTCTTAGTACTGCTTTAGCTGCATCCCACATGCTTTGTATGTAATATTTAATTTCCATTCAATTACAAATATTTTCTAATTTCTATTATAATTTCTTCTTTAATTTGCAGGTTATTTAGAGCCATATTCTCTCAGTTTCCAGGTAGTGAAGTCATCAGGCCCTGGAGGGTTTTTTATGAGCAAGTTTTTAATGATGAATTCGATTTCTTTAATATAGAGTTTCTCAGTCTTGCAACTACTGACATTTGGGGCCAGATAATTTCTTATTATGGGGGGACTTCCTGTGCATTGTAGGATGTTTAGCAACATCTCTGGCTTCTGCCCACTAGTTGCCAGTAGCACTTTCCAAATTATGACAGCCAAAAATGTTTGCAGATATTGCCAAATCTCTTTTTGGTGGGGGGAGGAATTGGTGGCAAAATTACCCCCAGCTGAGAACCACTGCTTCATAGATATAAGGCTATTCCTGTTATCTATTTCTTGTCAAGTGAGTTTTTATAGTTTCTGTTTTTCAAGGAATTTTTCCACTTCATCTAAGCTATCAAATTTTCTGGCATAAAGTTGTTCATGATATACCCATATTATTCTTTTAATGCCTGCATAGTCTGTAGTGCTAACTCCTCTTTCATTCTTGATATTGGAATTTGTATCTTTCTTTTATTCTTGATCTATTCAAAGAAGCAGCTTTTGATTTCATTTATCTTCTCTATTGTTTTTGTTTTCTATTTCATTGATTTTTGCTGTTATACTTATTATTCCTTCTTTATGCTTTCTTTCAGTTTAATCTTTTCTTTTTTTCTAGGTTCTTAGGATGGGAACCTTAGGTCACTGATATGAGACCATTCTTCTTTTCTAATATAAGTATTTAATGCTGTGAATTTCTAAGTACTGCTTTATGTGCCTCCCACAACTCTCAATATGTTGTGTTTTCATTTTCCTTAAATTCAAAATATTTTTCACCTTTCCTGTGTGATTTCTTCTTTGACCTGTGGGTTATTTAGAAGTGTGTTGGTTACTTTCCAAATATTTGGGGGAATTCCCAGATATATATCTTTTCTGTTGTGGCCAGAGAACATACTTTACATGTTCCAATCATTTCAAATCTATTGAGACTCATTTTATGGCTCATAATATGATCTATCTTCATGAATGTTCCATGTGTGCACTTGTAAAGAATATGTATTCTGCTGTTGTTGGGCAGTATGTTCTATAAATGTCATTTAGACCAAATTGGTTCATAGTATTGTTAAAATATTCTATATAGTTTTGATTTTTTAAATCTGTGTATTCAATGAATTAATGAAAGAAGAGTGATAAAGTCTCTAAGTATAAACACAGACTTGTCTGTTTATCCTTTTAGATTTATCAGTTTTTGCTTTATGTGTTTTGAAGATCTATTTTTAGGTGCATCTACATTTAGGATTGTTATGTCTTTTTCATGAATTGACCTCCTTAACTATTATTCAATGTCTGTCTTTATCCCTGGTAATATTCCTTGTTACAAAGTCTTTTTTTTCTTTCTGATATTGATGTAGCCACTCTAACTTTCTTTTCACTAGTGTTCATATCGTATATCTTTTTCCATACTTTTAGTTTTAACCTATTTATGTCCCCATCTTTTAATAATGCACATTGTACATCTTTTCCACTAGATTTTTTAACATGTTAATCATAGTTATTTTAAAGTCCTTGTCAGATAGTTTCAACACCTGAGTCATCTCTGAGTCTGATTCTCTTGACTTCTTAACTCCTGACAATAGTCTGTTTTATTGCTTTCCTGTCTTGTAAATTTTTATCAAATGCTGGACATTATGTATAAAAGAACATTGGAGATTGACATAATATATATTATTTATGCCTAGAAATAGGCAGGCTTTTTCTTCTGTTAGGTTATTAGTATGGAGGATTGAGTCAATCTAGTCTAGAGTTGAGCTCGGTTTGTCTTTTGTGGTTATTATCGTTACCTTCAATGCACCACTGACTTCAAATTTCTTTATCAATAGACTCCTGCTACCTCATGCTTAGTATGAAGCCTGGAGTGCTGTGTGACTGCAGCATGGAAGGCTTAACTCTCTGTGTTCTTGCTCCTCCTCCCACTGTAGTCTGCTGATGCGTGTTACTTGGTGAAAGGCATGGGATGGAGTTTGGGATTCTCTTGCTCTATCCTCAGTCTTAGGCAGTCCCTATACACTTGGTCCTCAGAGGTGGGGCTTTCTCAGTGTTTCTTCCCCTTCCCTTATTAACAGTCAAACTTTGCCAGATTAGTCTTGAGCAAGATTTTCTTCCACTCCAGCAGCAGACAGCTTTTGCTTCTGATTTTCCTCCAGTGGCAACTAATCTTTGCCTGGGACAAGGTAGCTGGAGTGTTTTCTCTGCCTCCCCGAGCAGCTTTTGCTTCATATGAGAGAGAGAGGTTCACAAATGGATGGGATTTCTTGCCTGTGTGCCGCCAGAGTTGGCTATCTCAAGTCTTCTGCGCTACCTCAGTCTGTCTCACAAGCACCCAGTGGAGGCTTGCAGAAATAGCTGGCAAGTGAATGTGGACTCCCCTTGTGTCTAGGGCTCTCAGATATTCTAAATGGTTATGCTAGCCCACACTCAGCATTTAAGAGCTTGAAACTTTCAGTTGTTTTCTTCCTACTTGCTTTTATGGCTACCACCTCTCCCTGCCATACTCTGTGAAAGAAGAAACAGTTTGGGTGTCCTGTCTCAACTTAGGGGGGCTTACCACCCTTTGGAATTCATTTCACCTCTGGGCTCAACTCTTCTTCCTCGGAGTATATAAAAGGATAATCTAGGTTAAAAGATGACTTTCTTGAGTATTTTTTTTCAGTGCCTTATACCAATTTCTTTAGTAATCTGAGAAGAAAATTATCAAGCCTTGTCTATTTGAATGAATCTAGCATATTTTCTCTCTCATTAAGGTGGTAAACATGAAACATCTTCTTACCTAATTTTATATCTTGGTTGTGATAATAATTGTTAAAAATTACTTGCTTTGTTTTGCTTTCAGACCAGTGAGTCAGATTTGAAAAATAATGAATGAGTCTTTCATAACAATGATTTTATGCCTTTGGAATACCTAACTCAACATTAAATAAATCAACATTTCAGAAGAACTCTTTATTTTGTTTTATTAGCCCAGGATGTGACATAAAGAGGCTTGCAGTTGGTTGAATTTATGCAAGTTGTTCAAAATATGAAGATAACTACTTTGTTTGTTTTTCCTTATGTTTCAGGTATCGGTGGTAATTTGGTGGCCATTCAGGCTAGCAGGATTTCTACCTACCTCCATTTACATAGCATTCCAGGAGAACTGCCTGATGAACCCAAAGGTTGTTACCACCCATTTAGAACTTTTTTTGGCCCAGGTATGTGCTTATGGATTTTTCATATTTTATTTCAGGAACTATTCCTCTCTGAGAATATAGGTAGGCAACATTTGTTGAATACATATTTTATCTGTGAATGTTGCACAACTTTTCTATTTCTGAGAGCTAAATAGATTTAAATTTTTTTTTCCTCCCCAAAGCCCCAGTACATAGTTGTATATTCTAGTTCTAGGTCCTTCTAGTTCTTCTCTGTAGGACACCACCTCAGTATGGTTTGATGAGTGGTGTGTAGGTCCGCGCCCAGAATCCGAACCAGTGAACCCTGGGCTACCGAAGCGGAGCACGTAAACTTAACCACTATGCCACCGGGCCAGCCCCTAAATAGATTTTAAATAGAATAGATTTTGTTCACTAAATCTCAGTGATGTCTCAGTGATGTTGACATTGGAATGTCTTTCTCTGGGATGTCTTGTTTATGAGTCAGGAAAGAGGAACCTTATGCACACAAGTAAGCATTGCTAGGTGATTTAGGCAGACAAATGTACTGTCTTTCCTGTATGAATCTTTTTGGTCTTTCTAAACATAAGTGTTTGATCCCAAACAAACAAGATGAGAGGTGATAACCTCAGTTACAAAGAACACTGTGTTGTTTATGTCACCCAGACATGTGATTACCAAAAAACTAAGACCACAATTTTAAACCTCACAATTCTTGTCACATTTTTTCTGATGAAAATAAATGTAATTATTGACTTTTGAAGTCAATAATGACAATCAGAAATGCCCAGCCTTGTAATATCAGTGAAAGAACTCTAAAGGAAAAGTAAAATTAAAACATTCCAATATTTTAAAAACTTTATGTTTTTCTTTTGTCTTCCCTCTGTTTTTATGATAGATATTAAAGTCTGACCAATGTTCTTCATAGCAAGTTTTTATCAACCACCTTTCATTTAATTAACATACAACATACAGTCAAAATTTCAAAGAGTTAGGTAAATTGTAAATAGCTGAAATTTATTTTTAGCAATTGAATTTTATGTGATGCTATGCAATATAGTAACTAGAAAATAATTCTCAAATTTTAATAACTGTGACCTATTATTAACCAAAATATGATTTTAACAACTTTTACATTTTATATTACAGGAGTAAATAATAAGTCTGCTCAAGTTCTGCTGCTTTTAGTGATTCCTGGACATTTAATTTTCCTCTACACTATTCATTTGATGAAAAGTGGTCACACTTCTTTAACTGTAATCTTCATAGTGGTATACTTAATTGCCGCTGTGTTACAGGTAAGAGTTAAAACCTCTTGCAACCTCTTTTATGCTCAGACTGCTGTAAAACTATAACTATGTAAATCTAAAAGCACACGAGATATTTTAACATTTCAAAAATCAATGGAATGCTTTTGTGTTGATTTGATCTTCTTTAAACCAATAAGCTCAGGACTACTTTTAAAATGAACTGATAAATAGAACCTTTGGATTTCCTGTTTCCTGGATTCCATGTCTTCCTTTTTTTGTTGTCTTGTTTTGTATGAACACGTCTTCTAATAGATTCCTGAGAAAGAGTGCATAAGAGTAAATTTTTTGAGCCTTTGTATGTTGTAAAGTACTTTGACACCATCAGGTTGACTGGATGTAGAGTTCTGTTTCTTTTAGAACTGTGAAGGCATCGCTTCATTGCCTTTTCACTTCTGTTACCATTGAGAATAGTCAGGTGTTCTCACTGCTGACCTCATTGTACATAAGTCCTTTTGTCTCCCTGGAAGCTTGCGAGATCTTCTCTTTTTTCCTCTTGTTCTTAAATTTCATGTTGACCTGGTTTGGGTGAATTTTGTCTGTTTTGTTAGTCATTGTTTGACACTTTCAATCTAAAAATTCATGTTCTTTAGTTCTAGGAAAATTTTTTGAATTACTTCTTTGATGATTTTTCGCTTTCCTTTCTTTCTGGATTTGTATTATTTGGTTCCTGGAACTTTTGCATTAAATTTCTTATCTTTTCTTATTCTTTATTTCTTTACCTTTTTTCTCTTCTTTCTGGGAGATTTCTATGCCTTTCTAAATCTTTTCTCTGTTGTGTCACTGAGGTTTCTGAAGAGAGTGGAGTTGAATGCATACGCTAAACTTGCCATCTTTATTATTAGGCTATTAATTTTAAAATTTAAGAAAATTGAGTTTATTTTCAAAATGTGACAAAATTTAAAAATTAAATAGTACTAAAGGGGTCTGCCTTTCCAATCACATTCCTCAGAGACAATAACTTTGAAATATTTTAGCTGTTTCTTCTGATATTTGTCTATAAGTTTTAAAGTAAGATAACTAAACTTTAGACTTTTGCTAATAGAAGTTGAGGATTTGGAGGCTATTATAACACCCATCTTTCCCATATAGTTATATCACAATTTTTTGTTAAATTTGTCATCAGTGTTTGTATGATTAGGCCTATGTAAACATTGTTTACTCTAGAGCTAGATGGTATACTAGGATTATATTTCCTTTTTGTGTACTTTATTTTTCTTGGGATTAATAACTGCATTTTTTCATTTGCATCATTTTCCGTAAATTTATCCTTAAGTTTTTCCAACTGTTTTCATTTTATTTTAGCTTCTTAGGCTTGGCTTCTTGTTAAACTCTGTAGGATTGTTACCTCTCACAGTGAGAAATCCTAACCCCTTAAGAGATGCATTCAAATAATTCTTTGAAGAGGTAACATTTGAATTTGGCCTTCAAGGAGTTTGACATGTAGGAGTGAGGTTAGAGGATAGGTATGGAGACATTATTCCAGACCAAAGAAACTGCGTTAATGGCGATGATAATGAAATTAAGTGACATTTACAGTTTCCTGTATGACCAGCACTGTTCTAAGTCCATTACATGTATTCACTTAATTCTCACAAAAACTCTATGAGATTTGTTCTTTTGATGTAAATCAGTGATTTTCAAAGTGAAGTATATGCAAAACAATCAACTGTGTACAAGAATAAAAAATTAAAACCTCTATTTATATATTTTACCTCATTTGTTTAAAATGTCTATTTTCTTCTGTTTTTATGATTGTTTTGTAATAAACATAATGTTATCAGCACAGGTTAAATAAGTATGCTCAAATATTTTATACTAAAAGGGCTAAATAATCTAAAACTTTTGGAGATTACAGAGTTTAAAGCATAGAGATGAGAAAGCACAGAGATCGTGCCAGAAAGAGAAAGTAGTTTATACACAGCATCTAACTAAGAGGAGGGAGTTGATGAGATAAGGTTAAGAAGGTAGATTAGGGTTGATGTAGAGAGGTCTTAAATGCCGGGCAAGGGAGACTAGAATCTGCTCTTAAAATAACAGAACTCTTACGACTTAATTGAGATTTTTAACTTTTCTATAATGCTTTATAATGCCTGAGATTGTATTAAAAATCATTCATTTATTCATTCAGTAAACGTCACATTCTACTAGATTCAGAGATGGGTTTTAAATCCCAGGATGAATAAATTCAGACCCTATCCTCAAGGATTCAGCCTGGAGGGAAGTCTACCACATGAACAAATAATTATGTTATAATGTATATAATATAAATTCTGGGGATAGCTACATATAAAGTGCTTTCAGAGCTTGGAAGAAAAAGCAACTAACTCTACCTGGGAAGTAATATTTTTCTACTGTTCAGTAGGGACAAAATTTATTTCAAATGCTTTTTTACTGCTGGCCAACTTGATTGCTGTATATGATATGGTCATTTATTATAATTTATGTTCTCTGTGTGTAAGTATTATGAAAAAGATGCATTCCTCAATCCCATGGGAAGTGTTGAGAGACGATTCGTTGCTCTGTTGATAAGCATGCCATTTTTAGAGCATATTCCTCTTGCAACTCTACCTCTTAGTCTCATGGATTAATATAACGTGTATGTTTATGGTTCAGTGCCAACATGCCATCATGCATTATGTTATTTAAGTCAATGAAGGATATAAGTATTTTTTCTGAATTTATAAAAATATTAGATTTCAACCTATACTCGCCGTATATCTACATGTCTTTTTTTAACCTCTGACCTAAATTCTGACAAGTGAAAGTTGAAAAACTGGAGTGGAGGAAAGAGTAATTATTAATCTCTCTGTGTCACAGTTACCTCCTCTCTAAAATTTTGAGGATTAAATGAGTTACTTATATAAAGCTTGCTACGTACTAGATGCTATATAGGTGTTAGCTGACACTGTTGTTGTTATTAAAAATAGAATTGTAAGTGGTGAACCATTGATCTCTGATGGTGATTGGAAAATATTTTTTCTTTATTTTGTAGTGTTGATTGAATTTTCCATATATGTATCTTTATTTTTTTTTTAATTTTTTTTTTTAATTTTTATTTTATTTATTTTTTTCTGGTGAGGAAGGTTCACCCTGAGCTAACATCCATTGCCAATCTTGCTCTGTTTTTGCTTGAGGAAGATTAGCCCTGAGCTAACATCTGTGCCAGTCTTCCTCTATTTTATATGTGGGTCACTGCCACAGCATGGCTGAAAAGTAGTCTAGCTCTGCATCCAGAATCCGAACCAGTGAACCCTGGGCTACCGAAGCGGAGCACGTAAACTTAACCACTATGCCACCGGGCCAGCCCCTAAATAGATTTTAAATAGAATAGATTTTGTTCACTAAATCTCAGTGATGTCTCAGTGATGTTGACATTGGAATGTCTTTCTCTGGGATGTCTTGTTTATGAGTCAGGAAAGAGGAACCTTATGCACACAAGTAAGCATTGCTAGGTGATTTAGGCAGACAAATGTACTGTCTTTCCTGTATGAATCTTTTTGGTCTTTCTAAACATAAGTGTTTGATCCCAAACAAACAAGATGAGAGGTGATAACCTCAGTTACAAAGAACACTGTGTTGTTTATGTCACCCAGACATGTGATTACCAAAAAACTAAGACCACAATTTTAAACCTCACAATTCTTGTCACATTTTTTCTGATGAAAATAAATGTAATTATTGACTTTTGAAGTCAATAATGACAATCAGAAATGCCCAGCCTTGTAATATCAGTGAAAGAACTCTAAAGGAAAAGTAAAATTAAAACATTCCAATATTTTAAAAACTTTATGTTTTTCTTTTGTCTTCCCTCTGTTTTTATGATAGATATTAAAGTCTGACCAATGTTCTTCATAGCAAGTTTTTATCAACCACCTTTCATTTAATTAACATACAACATACAGTCAAAATTTCAAAGAGTTAGGTAAATTGTAAATAGCTGAAATTTATTTTTAGCAATTGAATTTTATGTGATGCTATGCAATATAGTAACTAGAAAATAATTCTCAAATTTTAATAACTGTGACCTATTATTAACCAAAATATGATTTTAACAACTTTTACATTTTATATTACAGGAGTAAATAATAAGTCTGCTCAAGTTCTGCTGCTTTTAGTGATTCCTGGACATTTAATTTTCCTCTACACTATTCATTTGATGAAAAGTGGTCACACTTCTTTAACTGTAATCTTCATAGTGGTATACTTAATTGCCGCTGTGTTACAGGTAAGAGTTAAAACCTCTTGCAACCTCTTTTATGCTCAGACTGCTGTAAAACTATAACTATGTAAATCTAAAAGCACACGAGATATTTTAACATTTCAAAAATCAATGGAATGCTTTTGTGTTGATTTGATCTTCTTTAAACCAATAAGCTCAGGACTACTTTTAAAATGAACTGATAAATAGAACCTTTGGATTTCCTGTTTCCTGGATTCCATGTCTTCCTTTTTTTGTTGTCTTGTTTTGTATGAACACGTCTTCTAATAGATTCCTGAGAAAGAGTGCATAAGAGTAAATTTTTTGAGCCTTTGTATGTTGTAAAGTACTTTGACACCATCAGGTTGACTGGATGTAGAGTTCTGTTTCTTTTAGAACTGTGAAGGCATCGCTTCATTGCCTTTTCACTTCTGTTACCATTGAGAATAGTCAGGTGTTCTCACTGCTGACCTCATTGTACATAAGTCCTTTTGTCTCCCTGGAAGCTTGCGAGATCTTCTCTTTTTTCCTCTTGTTCTTAAATTTCATGTTGACCTGGTTTGGGTGAATTTTGTCTGTTTTGTTAGTCATTGTTTGACACTTTCAATCTAAAAATTCATGTTCTTTAGTTCTAGGAAAATTTTTTGAATTACTTCTTTGATGATTTTTCGCTTTCCTTTCTTTCTGGATTTGTATTATTTGGTTCCTGGAACTTTTGCATTAAATTTCTTATCTTTTCTTATTCTTTATTTCTTTACCTTTTTTCTCTTCTTTCTGGGAGATTTCTATG